GAGTGGAGAAGTTTACATTTGCATAAGTATTTTCTCCGACTGGCAAGTTCTAAAGTTGGATGGACATTAATGTTCGGAAAAGGAATATTCTTACAATATATCTAATATATGACATTCCCGTAAGACAAGCAAATGTACTTCCTACATCACATCTTGAAATATTCCCATTTATAATATTAGAACAAGACATATAATAGGCGAACAATATTGTTGCTTTCAATTAGATCCCCTTCTTCAGGCTTTACTCTAATTTACATAGATTTATATATGAAAAATTTTAACTAATGACGATGATTTTGTGGATCAAATAACAATAATAATAATGTGGTAAATGTTTTGAACGAAGTTAATAACGATAATTATACTAATAACAAAATATTGATAATAAGGTTTATACAGGTGGCAATAAGAATAACAAAGGTGGTAATATGCGTATATGTAGACGACTCAAAAGTTACGTAATACTAGGGGTGAAGTGGACAGATATAATCAGAATTTAAATACATATCATAAATTAATATCAGTAAAAAGCGGGTTTGAATTCCGTTTGAAAGGTGGAATGCGATAGATAACTTTGAAGGCACTATTTTTGTCCACCTGATAACCGCTATCATCAATCAAATGAGCCAAAATAGTACTTTTTATAGATATAATTTGACCTTTTCCGAATCTTGGAGGAAGATGCTCATTAATGCGTTGGTTAAGCTGTCTAGTTGTTCGGCCTATATAGCCAGCTCTCTCCACAGGAGCAACTAAATTTATAGATACACATCGAAGTGGCACAGCTAGATAGCTTGTCTTTCACTTGAGCAATCAAAATTGGTCGGCTGGAAAGTGACAAACAGAGGGTGGCGGCAGTATAAGTCCGTTTTATCGCTCTCGACAATCTCAGATGTAAGACTTCACTACTAGCCACGTCCCATTAAATTGCAATTTCATGAACAGTTGTTTCTTTTTAACTGTTGTCAGTTACTCTTTATTGTACTTGGTGTTCACGTGTCTCCTTACGAATCTACTAGGATAACCCATTTAAACCAGCGTATTTTGGATGTATCCTAATTCGCTTTTTAGGGAGTCATCTGTACAGATCCATCTTGCTCTATTCGTCAGGCACCTGACCAAATTAATTTTGTATCGGATTGGTACAAAACTGAGGAAATGTGTATTGTATTATCCTACAGATGTAGGTTTTATATAGACATCTCTCTTGAGTAAACCATCTAGTCTCTCTTCTGCTCAATTGGACGTCAAGGAAATGTAGTCTACCATCATGTTCTTCTTCACAAGTGAAGATGAGCGATGGATGTGCATCATTAACCTTTTTAACATTTCATTCTTGTCAGCTTTCCCATCGAGAATAATAAACGTATCATTAACATAACGAAAATAGGAGTCCGTTTTATCTATTACTTGTTTCAATGGACCATTTTCAACATTGGCAAGAAAGAAATCTGTCGAAATTGACCCCAATGGAGAACCGACCATAGCAATGCCGTCGATTTATCTGTAATAAAGGTTGTTGAATGTGAAGTGTACATTCATAGTACACCTTAAAAGCAACTTTTTCAAACTAATAACTGGAATTCCGACGTCGAACTGTTTTTTTGCTAGTGCCAAAGCACATAAAACACTGGAAGAACACAGAGAGAGAAGAGTTATTGTCCACATTTCTGAACACATACACCAAAAAGAACCTGAGACTGAAAGGTCCATAAGCGTTAAACAGTGCGATTGCGCCTCATCTATTGGACACTGGTCATATTGTAGAAGTCAACCTGAAGTCGTCCAAAATCATCAACAAGCAAAAGAAACCTAGCTTGCTAAGCTTTGCTAAAGCAGTCGCTATCAAACCACTTGAACCACCAAATCTATGTAGGCAGAAAGAGACAGTGGTGAATCTTGCACTGCCCTGGTGATAACAAAAAATATACAACTTTTATGAGTCACCTTTTTTCTTGTTTAGAAAACTTTACTCTCTCATTTAAACATGACTCACCTTACCTTGTTTCTTTTCTTTCCTTTCTATAAGCTATTAGATAAAACATTTTCTTTAGTTACATAATCTACTCTTTTGGGTGAAGTTCAACAATTAGCGTCCAGGAGTGTGAACGCTCCAATGACCCTGAACGCATGCTAGTCGTCGGCTAGTCGCATCATTATCATAGCTGACATATCAACGCTACTCACCAACTAAGGAGCAAATTTCACCCAGATCACGTCTTTAAGTACTGTTTGGACAATGTGTTAATAGCTCGTAAGGGTTAGGATTAGGGTTAAGGTAAGCATTGCGGTTAGAATAACGGTTTGGAAAAGGGTTAGGATTAAACTTATGGTTACGATTAGGGATAGATTCAGAGTTGATGTCATTTATTTTAATTTGTTTTACTATCCACATTTTCCCAGTAAGCAGTCATCGATCCTCTAAATAGAAACCACAGTAATTCAAATGAGGGCTTCTGGGGAACACTGCACAGAAGGATAAGATAAACAAACGACTCACAAAAACAGCTCATCTTCAGTCACCTTTATGAATACATGTAGAGAAGCTATTCTAACTTAGCAATTGATACTCCTCGTTATAACTGGGATGTATTTTTAAGCCATATCAGAGAAAGATAACCTGTTTAGTGCGTTTTCAAGCATTTTCTTGTCAATATACACATCACTTTTTGGGCAAACATTCCCAGATTTTTTTATGATTGTCAGCTGAAGGTCAATATTGAGTTCTCACTCCTGGGATGACGATATTGTTAAGCTTTGCCCTTTTTTCTTATGCTCTTTCAAGCTAAACCTTGTTTCTGTAAACACACACACACACATTTATATACGCAACTCTGGTCTTTTTGTTTCCAAGCCTAATATTGTCTAATTATTCTATAAATAGTCAGTGTGTCTGTAACTCTTAATTAATTAGTTAAATCATTCCGGACTTTTACTTCCTATCAACCAATTACTGCATGTAATCGTGCAAAAAAGTATGTTCAGATCTTTAATGTATGTAATTCATACATATTTTTTTATCGTTCAGGTTGTAACCAGTTGAGAAGACACTCCGAAATAATAAAAAAATTAGCTCATATTACCGATATTGGTTTGTGCATTAGATATATCACACAGTCAGTGAGTGAAACAGTATTAGTATTTACTGGATGACAAAGTTTCGAACAAAATTTATTGTTCGTAATCATATCACCACTTATAAACACACGACTTGGAAACTTGAGTTTTACAGTTTTCTTTGTTCTCTCCTATTTGTCGTCATTCGGGTAGTAGAATTTTCCAGATATCTGAGTGGACAGGTGTTTAATCATTCCTACTACATGTATTATATCTCACTTGATTCGATGAACAAAGCTTCTGTTATCAATCTTCCCCGCTCGCCAATCTGTTAGTTGCATTAAATTTTAAAACTGCCATCTTTTCCCATCCAGCCTATTTTATGGTAAGTTGTGTGCAACTGCATCTAGTGTTTGCAATAGCTGATGAACTATTCTCTAGATTTCTTATCTCATTCGGTCGGGTCAACTAGTCTAGATGTTACTGGTGGGTGTTTATGCTTCTCGGCTAGTCTGACTGACTCACTGACTGACCCTGTTCTCCTACTTTGACCCATCTATGTATTTGACCTGACAGTCATCTCAGGCAGGGTATTAGATAAACTAAACTAGTTTGTTTGGTTTTAAAGGCTCCACTGTCAGGATTGATCCTTTGACCGACAAAGCTTGTTTCTAATTGAGTTTGTGGTTGGTTTGAATACCAGCCACTTTTAATCCTGCCTGCCTTGTTAAGAATTCTCCGCTGTAAGGTGGTTTCCGAGTTTCCTTCTTTGTATGGAATTACTACTGATGATTTAGGTTCTTTATTGTACGTGTCGTCATTATTATTATCACTATTATTATTATTATCACCATCGCTACTATCATTATTTATTTTTTTTATTATTATCATCACATTTCCTTACATATATCTTGACTCATTTATCCGGGTAATTATTAAGTTTCAAGGATTCTCTTATATATCTCACTTACTGTCTTAGATGTACCCTGGTACCACTTGGTTTTTGTGCTCTCTCACTTGAACATTTCACCAATCCTATTTTTAGTGACATAGATAGGATGGGATTATCGGAAGTCCAAATGTATCTGTTTGAATGTGTAGGTTTCCTGTAAACACATCAGCTAGCGTGTTTAACTTCCCATCTTCTTTACTTTTTACGTTGCAATCAAATAGGAGAAGACAGAGAAAACTAAAGAACTCAAGTTTCGAAGTTGTGTGATTACCACCACCATAGTGGCCAAGTTTTACACATACATTAAAAGCTCATATTATTCTCTGGTACAATTGCTTTTCTTTTTGCTTTCTTCAACTGTATAAAATGCTTAATAAAAAATCCATTCAGGCCAGTTATACATTAGTAACCCCCTTATAGTTAACGTTTAAAAGTCAACTAAAATGTGAAACCTTAGTTTCTTTCATAAAAAGCGCTTTCGTAAATATATATAACCACATTACTGATATAACAGTAGGGAGGAAAATAAAACAAATGAGAGATAAAAAAAAAGCGAAAAAAACAGTCAGTCAGTCAGTCAATCAATCAATCGATCAATAACAAATAGTAATAATAATCATAATACTTTTGTTTAAACTAATTACACACTTTCAATACTACCTTCGTTGATGTGTGCACACTATAGATGCATGTTAATCCACATCTGAATTTGTTTGAAAAAAGACAATTCTGAAAATATATAATTTAATTTTTGATAATTTCTGAGAATTGAGTATTTTTTTAAAACAAAATGTTATTAGTAGGCATTCTTATGATTATCTCAGCATAATCACCGTCATTAATAATCAATAAGCGCGGAAACTAGTTACTAGTGTTTGAGTTGTCATGGTAATCGTGATATATATGAAATGATTGGTTAGTTTGTTTGTTTTGTTGTTCTTACTGTACATAACTCAAGTTGAATTTTGAATGCATATTATATATATATATATATATATATATATATATATATATTAATTGATCTGTTCTCATTGTCCATCTGAAAGAATTGTCTCTTTCATTATTCATATCTCAGTGATGCCACGTTGATGATGTTTCATTTCTGTCACACAAAATGTACACACTGATCGATATTTTTTACTCTGTTCATATAATCGTTGATTCTCTCGATTTTCATTCACATTAATATTCGAAGAGGAGTTTATATCACCACCCCCAGAACTATAATAGATCTGTTGATGCCGTAAACATGGTTGATCTGCTGGATTTGAACCAGTCACTAGAATAGCGTGTAAATGGGATATATACGATGAAGCGAGTCGAAGTGTTTCAATTTTAGATAACTTTCTATTGATTGGTTCTGTTGGGATTAAACTACGCAATAAAAGGAAAGCATCATTCACACTGGCTGTACGTGTACGTTCACGTTCATTGGCGACACGTTTTACAGGCGGTGGTTGTGGTTGTAGCGGTGTTGGTGGTGATATTGATCTGGATGATACTGTGGTGCGTTCATTTTCAGCATGAATGGTAGTTTTATGTGGATTTAAAGTGTCATTACTACTATTATTATCCTCATTATGATTAGAATTACCAATTGTTTGATTATAACTCGTCAAGTAGTCGTCTTCATTACTCCAATTACGTTTACGGTAATTATGATGAGTACTTGATATCTCCATAATATTAATAATAATAATAATAATAAATAATGAAATGAGAGGATTTATTTATCCTTTTCTAAGCTGTTTGCGTATCTTTCGATGCCAAATGTTTATTATAATATTGAATTCCCTCAAATGAATCCAAAATGACACTAGAGATGTTTAAATCCTTCAATGCCATCAAAAAAATCACCAAAAAAAAAAACAGCACAGAAACCGATGTACATACTGTGATGGATAGACGGACACACACGGAGATGAGATGAAGAATACTAAATACTAAGTGCACACATGCATACACAGCACACAGGAGTTTAGTACACATAGCTCCTTCATACATAACCGCACACAAAGATAAGGCTACAAGTGAACACACTCTGGCACATTTAGCACAAACACACACACACACAAATCTCTTTTTTATTGGTTCAACTGTTGCTGTGCTATGCTATGGCGCAGTTTTAGATATTGCCACACATACTGACCAATCATCTATCTCCGCCCCCGTGTTTTGTCTGTGTGTGCGAAAGGGGTGTAAATAAATTTCCCTGGTCATGCAATATACGAAATGAATTCTGAATGTTGTTTTTTGTGAATATTGTAGGATTAACAATCTAATTACCTGGTTCCTTTCATTCTTAACTTTGCACCGATAATAATCGATTAGAAAAAGTGCTAGTTCTTACTTAGGCTGAATAAAAACAATAATGATAGTGGGTTTTGTTATCTGAACCAATTTAACTGCTCTCCTGTGGAGTCAGCCGAGCCAGTTACTTGCATAGGCCGTACACAATTAGGCGTGTTTCTCGTCGAATTTCCGAACATCACGTCACCCCGCACAGTGGTCGGTTGGTTAAGCAAAGAACAAACAAAATCTATTCACATAGCGCTATTCTATCTATCTCACTCATTTTCTTGTGGATACAGAACACAAGACTGATTGCTGTTAACAAGGCGGCGGCTTTCAGGCTCATATACCTACCGCATACCAACCAACAAATCTCAATTTCGCCTTAAGAGTAGTTCGACTACTAAATATTGCTGAGGCTGGCTGGCTGGTCGTTGGGATCCAGATTAACAAGCTTAATTTGTGCCTCCAAAAGAAGTTAGTTGATTCAGACATTATCCTTACCCTCTTGGCCATCCATCCAGGTTTGAATGATCCTGAATTTTTGTGGAATTTTCCTAATTTTAGTTGATATTCTATTTGCCACTATATCTTTAGATAAAGCAATAAGAAGACGTAACTTGTCTGAATCGTGTGTGTAATGCTGTATTTGCGAAACACATTTCGAAAAATCTGATCCATCACACACATACGAACTTGTCATAGGAATATACGGAATATGTGGAAATAATAAAGAGAGTTAAGAATAAGGTAAGGAAATAGGCATAGGTCAAGTTAAAAGGAGGACATATCGAAGGTCAAAATAACAATAAAGATCACTTAACCAAGTAGCCGAGGTAATAGTACATCTGCTATAGTATCAAAACAAAATTTACCAAGCAAGGTTTAATGTGATGACGAATTGCTGCTTTGAACGCATAAACGTGGTCTAAACTTTCTAATTGTTAGGGCTTCCACAAACTGAAGGCTACGCCTTCCCCTGAACACGCTTTTAAAGATAGATAGGCCTTTAAAAGATGTGTCAGTTAACGTCAGTGTTGTGGCCCGTCACCTCTACAATATGTTTCACATTAGAGAAGCTAGTTCTTCGTCTTTTCTCACCATTAATGTGTTTTGAAGATTTGATTTGCCACTGGAGCCATTTAGGAATATGCTGTGAAGACAGCCAGCCCTTATTTGCAGGGATGCATGAGTCCTCCCTATGCATGTCTGTTGTTATCAACCAGAGTTTGTGTCAAATTTCTTTCTTCTTCATCAAGTGTGTCTGTTTTCAGTGCATATTATTTTTATTTATTTATTTATTTTTTGGATTACAGCCTGATTCCACACTGTATTTTTGGTACAAGTATGGAATTTTCAGCATGGATATCGGTAGACCAAATTCTGCAGGCCGACCATAGATATCAGGTGTGCGTCGGCAGGGGATGAACTTCGGACCATGTGCATGGTCGGCGAGAGTCCTAACCACTGTGCCGCCGACGCACGTTGGATTCTACTGAAAAGGTACTTTACTAAGGCTCTTCTGTAGTATATCTTTATAATAATAATAATAATTATTATTATTATGATAATTTAAGCATCTTTAATGAACTGTGGTAATTCCATTGTGATCGTACTTTACAAATCGATATTATTTAAAAAGCACGCTGATATTGTTATTAACTACTAATCTAGAATATTCTATGTATATAAATATGCCTGCATATATATAAATGTAGAGCCAGAGGAGGAGGAATTTATCGAAAACGGGGATATTCTTTGCTGGCTCAATTAATTTATGTCTTACAGATGTCTGAATGAATATTTTTGCTCTATATTATAATATTACTAACAGTAGATAGTAGCATGGGTGCGTCGGTGGCATAGCACGGTTAGGACGCTCGCCGACCATGCACATTGTCCAGGGTTCGATCCTCGGCCGCCAACGCACTCCTTTACCTGGCGGAGCCAGAGATAAAAAAGCTGGTAAAGAGGACAGGTTGGGCCAGATGAAGCTAGCAACCCCATCCTGTGAAAATAATCACCACTGCTACAGAAACTTCAAGCCACTAGTTTGAAGGTGCCCTATGTTCCACTGGGGAACGTGAAGGAAAAAAAGACTGTAGCGTTGGCACCACTTACTCGGGTCAACAATTTTCATCTTCACCTCAGGAAACAAAACAAATGCAGAGGCAGAGAATATCTGTTATGTAGTAATTTCTTAATCTTCAGATTTTAAGGCACATACAATTCAAGTTCCTGTTCATCTAGTCATCTGGGTTACAATAATGACAATGAAAAGTTTCCAGCTTAACTTAATTCAAGCTACTGTGATGATTATTCATTGTCACTTAGGCGCATTTCTGCTTGTTATTGACTTAACTGACTGCTTAGTGTAAGTGTGTAGCACTTCAGTCAGCTCTGTAGTAGAATGTAATTCACTTATTAGACAAGTTCATTTGACATAACACACAATGATGAAACAGCGTCAGTGGGAGTTTTCGTCTCCTCTACGTTAGATACTATAAAAAACCAAAGTATTTTCCTAAATGTAATGCCTATGTTATTTTATTAAATGGCGTTTCAAGTAATTCCATATTAGTTTGTTTATTGGATGTATCACACAGTGAAACAGTATTATTTACTGGATGACGTTTCGAACAAAATTTATTGTTCATAATCATATCACCACTTATAAACACACGACTTGGAAACTTCAGTTTTACAGTTTTCTTTGTTCTCTCCTATTTCTCGTCATTCGGGTAGTAGAATTTTCCAGATATCTGAGTGGACAGGTGTTTAATCATTCCTATTACATGTATTATATCTCACTTGATTCGATGAACAAAGCTTCTGTTATCAATCTTCCCCGCTCGCCAATCTGTTAGTTGCATTAGATTTTAAAACTGCCATCTTTTCCCATCCAGCCTATTGTATGGTAGGTTGTGTGTAATTGCATGTAGTGGTTGCGATAACTGGTGAACTCGTCTCTAGATTTCTTGTCTTATTCGGTCGGGTCAACTAATCTAGATTTCGCAGCTAGGTTTTTGTGCTTGGCTAGTCTGACTGACGCTGTTCTACTACTTCGACCCATCTATGTATTTGACGTGACAATCATTCCAGGAGACAGGGTATTAGATAAACTAAACTGTTTTGTCAGTTAGGGGCTCCACTGTCAGGATTGATGGTTTAACCGACAAAGCTTGTTTCTAATTGAGTTTGTGGTTGGTTTGAATACCAGCCACTTTTAATCCTGCCTGCCTTGTTAAGAATTCTCCGCTGTAAGGTGGTTTCCGAGGTTTCTCTCTTGTATAAAAGTACTAAATATGATTTAGATTCCTTATTGTTGGTGTTGTCATCATCTAATGTAACAGGAAGCTTTGTTTATCGAATCAACTGCAAATCAACACTTGTAATAGGAATGATTCAACACCTATCCACCCAGATATACCTGGAAAATTCTACTACCCCAATGACGACGACAAATAAGAGAAGACAAAGGAAACTATAAAACTCAAGTTTCGAAGTAATGTGATTATAATTGAAGACGTCTATGAATATGAACAGCAATAATGAATTGTGTTCGAAACTTTGTCATCCAGTAAATACTAATACTGTTTCACTGACTGTCATACATCTAATAAACAAAATAATATGGAATTACTTGCTACCACCACCACCACCACCACCACAGTACCCAAGTAACTGGATGGTCCTGTGTTCACACCCTGTCGATGGGTGCGTACTGATGAAGGGTTTCAAACTAGGCTGATGAAACAGCTGGCTGTCCAGTACTTCCTGCAGGTTTTCCAAAGTTTCTCTAACCGATGTCAGCACATGATGAAATTCTCTATGCAATCAAACAAAATCCAACCAAACAAACACCTGAAAATCGGGTAAAGTGTATTTGGGACCCAGAGACTTGTGCATCTTCATCAGAGAAGTGAATATGTCTAATCAACAACATAGCCATTGTTTCCCAGTTCAAAAGTCTTGAGAAGAAAAAACAACCATTCAACAGGCTCTCAAAACACCTTATCAATGAGAATCAGTAAATACGAAAGCTGAATACATGATTATTATTATTGTTATTGTTCCCTTGGGTTCCACTGGAACATAGGGCTTCAACTGCACGTATCCACTTGCTTCTATCTTCTGCTGTACTTACTTTTCATCTGCATCATCCATGTTAGTCCATACTGTTTCAACTCCTCTTCCCACGATCTCCTCCATGTCCCCTCGCACTGACGTCCCACTCGCCGCGTGCTTCCCTTTCGGGTTCCACTCGAGAAATGGCCTGACGCGCGTGTGATGTCACCCAGCGGCGGCCTCCTCACCTAGTGTCCAATCCATCTTCACTTTCTCTTGCATATATCCTGTTGTCTGGCGATTGGTTCTTGTTTTGTTTGTTCCCATAGTTTCTTGTTGGTGATTGTTTCCGACCCGGCCCGGCCATCTGATCTTCAGTATTGAGCCAGCGAAGACAGTTAGTTGTTGATAAAGGTAACGTTTGCAACAGGCTGTTGGTGGAAATATTCTTTGTGACCCACCCGCCAAGTTTCTCATCCGTATAGAAGAGCTGACTGACTTGACGTTGTTTGTATTGAAAATTCGATCGAATTTTGTTGTTGATGCTGAGTGACGAAGATTTCCAGATACATGATACCTTTTGTCAATCAGACAGAATTATCAAACGCTAGTTTGTAGGGATTCGAAGACGAGGGAATACTGGACAGCTGTTTTTCCCCAGTGCGGGGTTTTTCGTCTGCACACACCCACTGAGGTTTAAACACCAGAACCTTTCGGTTACAAGCCAGTACGAGGTTACCTGGAGTTCTAGTTAAAAGTTGTGACCATGGGGTTCACTTGGAAAAATAGCAGCCGACGGCACTGGCTGATGATCGCGCTACAATCATGAATT